ACCCATATCTTTAACATCTTGCATATCTAAAATGATGGAGTGAATGGTATTAAATAGATTTTTGTATAAAATTGATGGTCTCTTGTCTAGTAATTTGTTCGGATTTTTAAAGGGTAAAAGCACTACAGATTGTGTGATTAAATGTCTTAGTAATGCTAATGTCAACTGTGGACTGTTTTTAGACTATAAAAGTGCCTTTGATACGGCAAATAAGGAAGTGATCTTAGAAAGTCTTGTAAGTAAAGGTATAAAAGGGAAATTATTGATGTGGATTACAGATTACTTAACTAACAGAAAAGCGAGTGTCTGGTTTCAAGGTCATGAATCAGGAGAAAAAAGTCTAGGGTTGGGTACCCCACAAGGTGGCGTTCTTTAGCCCTATGCTTTTTAATATTCTTATGGACAGAATAGCAAGTTACAAATTCCAGGGCGAGTCCCAAGTAATCATTTATGCTGATGACATTCTGACCCTATGTACGAATGAGGAAGATATGTCTCGGGTCATTGATCAGCTGCAGTATCTTTGTCTCTCCTTGGGACTGGTCATTAATAAAAATAAAACCAAATATCAGTCAAGGGAAGTAAATGGAAAAGAATTTTGGCTAAATGGAATAAAACTGCAAAAAGTATACAGTTACAAATATCTGGGAATGTTTGTGAGTATTAATAATAAAGTTAAGGATCAAATTACTTATGTCAAAAATATATGTACAGCGAGGCTAAAACCTCTGAAAGTTTTGTCAAACAGAGGAAATGGTGTTGGTATACCAGTTTTAAGATCTATGTACTTAAGTACAGTTTGGAATATCATTGATTACTCAGCTCTAGTTCTAGCTTCTTACTCAGGAAAAGATCTTAGGCCATTAGAGCTTATTCAGAATGAAGCAATGAGGATTGTGCTTGGTTGTCCAAGGACAACAAGAATAGAGATTATGAGGATGGAGCTAAATGTCCCGAGCATAATACACAGAATTAAGGAGTTGACTGTCATTTCTACTCTGAGGCTTATTAGGCGTGGTGATGGGTATCTGAAGTCTGCTGTTGATAAATTTATTAATGCAATTAGTGGTAATTTTAAGATGAATACCTATACTAAAAACTTTGTCAGATGTTGTGTGAATATAATATTGGAGATTTTTGTGTGCCTTTGCCAAACAAAGTTTATTTGAAACCTTGGTTCATGGAGTATCTGTAAGAATGGATAAGCTAGATGTAAAAAAAAATAATAATCCTTATGAGTTACGGCAAATATTCCTTGAGAAAATATCTGAGTACCATAAGGAAAATGTTATTCATGTGTACTGTGACGGTTCAGTTCATGGGAATCGGGCCGGATGTGGCATTGTTATTAGGGAATTTTTTGAATATTGCATTAGTGTTGAAGAAAGAATATTCAAGAGAATTGGGGATAGAAGTTGCAGCACCACTGCTGAACTTTATGCTATACTAGCGGAATCGGCGACCTCCGGGTGGCTCTTTCGCTAGGCCACGCTAGGACGCCACCTTCCGGGAGGCTCCACATTGTCTCACTGTAGTGCATTAAGGTAGACCACATTTTTGGTTTTGCCATTAGCAGCAAGTATGTACAGATTTTTGCCAGTTCCCACTCTGGAGCATCCAACATAGAACTGTCCATGAGAGATGCAAGGAAACACCAGGTTTAGGCCAACCATCTTTAGGGACTGTCCCTGGCTTTTGTAGATGGTCATGGCAAAGCTCACTTTAACCGGGAACTGAAGTCGCTTGAACTCAAATGGCAGGTCAGTGGTGATGAGAGGTATACTTGGTATAAGAACGTCCTCTCCTTTAGCTTTTCCTGTCAGTATTGTAGCTTCCAGTACATGTGGCATCATGTTCTTCTTGTGAGCGACTCGTCTCTCATTTTGAGTATGATGTCTCGCTTCTCAAACTCTTGACCGACAATCAGGATGGCTACTTCATCAACTACAGGAGCATTGAATCTTCTTTCATGTTCTCCCTTAGGGGTCGTGTCTGCTTTGATCCTGACTTTATACTCGTCAGAAGGCATGTTTTCCAGGGCATTTTTTAAATGACTGTACAAGTGTACATACGTGTTGCGCTCATGCAGCATTTCTTGGATACAGTAGATAGGACAATGTCATGTCTGACACCTTGAATGTTGCCACACCTGATAGTAGTCTGCTTTTCATGATTTCCCATGAAGTAGATTTGGAGGAACTTTGCCTGCTCATCTTCCAGTGGTAAAAGGGATCCTGCTTTGTGATAGACTTGACCGACCCTGGACTTTGAATGTTGGTATGTATCCGTGCTCACGAACTACTCTGGTAGCTCCAAAGGATGTCATCTGGAAGCATGAATCGTACTTCAGTATATTTTCAAAGAAGTGTTTTGACTCTGGTGTTGTTCCCAGCATGAGAGTCTTCAATGGTTGTGGTGCTTTTTACAAATTTGGCAGTCGTACTTTCCTATGAGAGCAACACAGTCCAGCAGATTCTCCTTTATACTTCTTTGCACCGCAGTGCTCACATTTCTTATCCATGTTGCCAATGACAACAGAGGGATACTTTTCATATTCTATCTCATTGTCATAGTTAAATGCTGCTCTTGCAAGTGGATGCCACTGTGTATTCTTTCTTAGCATTCTGGATCCTGCAGCTCTCTGTCTATTAGCATTCAAACGAATTTCATGCGCTTGATCATTTTCTAGAGAAGACCTTTCCGCTGTTTGCTATCTGTCAGCATTAAGACGGGATTCCCTTTCCTGATCTGTTTCCTGTGACCGACTGTCCGCTGTTCGCTCCGGGCTGCTCATCCGCTAGGCCACGGTAGGACACCACCCTCCGGGAGGCTCCACATTGTGTCACTGTTCAGTCCCTAAAACTTCTTCTTTCATCAATAGTTCATTAACGGTGTATGTAAGTTCCACTATGTTTTTCACTACAACGGTACAGCAAAGTATATTTTTTAGCATTAAACTGTTATTATTTTATTGTCTAATCATCACTACAAATAACACTATCCATCATCACTACATATAACACCATCCATCATCACTACATATAACACCATCCATAATCACTACATATAACATCATCCATCATCACTACATATAACACCATCCATCATCACTACATATAACACCATCCATAATCACTACATATAACATCATCCATCATCACTACATATAACACCATCCATCATCACTACATATAACATCATCCATCATCACTACATATAACACCACCCATCATCACTACATATAACATCATCCATCATCACTACATATAACACCACACATCATCACTACATATAACAACATCCATCATCACTACATATAACACCATCCATCATCACTACATATAACACCATCCATCATCATCACTACATATAACACCATCCATCATCATCACTACATATAACACCATCCATCATCACTAAAGATCGGTAAAGTAGTTTCCGAGATTCTCTTGCGGACACACATACACACAAACACACAAACAAACACACACACAGACATACTTATTTGTTTTATGTATATAGATATGTGGGACTTAAGTATTACTTTGTGAGGAAAAAACAGTTTTGGGGTTTGTTGACAGTCAAAGTGCTCTATTTGTTCTAAATTCTAAAATGCCTCTTGATGATGATTTAGTTTTAAAATGCAAGAAGTGTATTCAGGACATAAAATCACTTGGATATGATGTAAGTTTTATATGGATGCCATATCATTGTGGTATTTATATGAATGAGGTTGCTGATGATTTGGCTAAGCAAGGGTGTGGCAAAGAAATTGTAGAATACGATTGTATTTTGGATATAAAAGAATAAAATCTGGAATGGTAAAAATCCGACAACACTGGGAAATGGACAATATTCGGAAAATTTTGAATAAAGGTAGTAGTAGTTTGAAACATTATTTTCGAGTTTTGAATTCTACAAGTTCTACGTTTGGTAAGGCTTCGGTTAAGTATGATACATTTGTGATGAGGCTACGCTTTGGATACAAATATTATTGGCAATATATTGAAGGAACTGATGGCATTCCTTGTAAACTGTGTGACTATGTAAAGTCTCATACATGATGGAATGTAACTGTTTATCAGAATTTAGGGGTGATGATATTACTGATATTACAGAGATGGTTTGCTATTTAATAATCACATATATGGTTAAGAATATTGAAAAAAAAATCTGCAAGTTTAACATAAGATTGAAGATTTTATGCATATCTATTTGTTGTATACATATCTGATTTATGATTACGTACAATATTAAAGAGCTCTTGTTAAGAGTAGTTTTGGGCGGGCTAGTTAGTATGCTTACCAGCTCCTTTTGATGTATTTGTCAATAAATGTTTTGAATTTTAATTTTAATTCGACTAGACTGAAAATGAAAATGGAAAAGTTTTGTGTTGGTGTGGATGATCTGGAAATACTGTAACAGAACTGTAAGAGTAGGGTTAGAGATGATTAAGGGTTTTGACTGAGTGATTAAGGAGTATTATTAGCTGGTATGAAAAGGTGAAAGTGGGTCCCATAGTCATGACTGACCGTTAGGGATAGCACGGATACAACACACTGTATAAGCCTTCAGTAGACAAGGAGGCTTCACTTCCCCAAGTTGTAATCTTAGGTACCCATTTACAGCTGGGTGAACTGGGAGCGCCTGGGAATCAAACCACTGACCCCCGGAACAGGAGATGGGCGCTGTTTCCACTCGTCTGCCGCGCTTGTATTAGTTGCTATAAATTTCATCAAATTACTATCTACTACGACCATGAGACTGCATTTGCGGGAATTGGTGTATTAATGAGAATTAAACTCATTAGCTATATGAATGGGTGAAAACCAGCCAAATGTGGTACTGGAGCCTTAGAAATCCCCCCAGAGATAGCAGCATTTGGCACCCATTCTGTCGTGAGCAGGTATTATTACTAGCCTGGGATTAATTGTTTCCCGATTAACAGCCTCCTTGTGTAGTTCTATACTAGTATAGGGTTGAGGTCAATTCACACCAACCTTGTCAAAGCAAATGATGTCGATGGACCCAGCGAAAGGGATGTAGTTTGAGGAGAGAGAGAAGATGTCTTGCTTCTTGAGTCGCTGTTGTGCCCACACATTGATGGCTGTGATGGTGGCGGGCAGGATTGGTGGCACCACGAAGGTGATAATATCCAGCGAGTTGAAGAGTATTTCGTGCCATGAAGCCTGCAGACATGCAATGTGTTAAACCAAACACTTATGAACTCAAACTCCTACATACATTAGTGATTTACAGTAATGTCAATGGCAACACACTCCTGGGTATAAAATCAAGACTGACAACATCAACACTAATGCTGTTCTTTTACTTCATCTAAATTAATCAGTGGTGCCAAAAAATTCTATTTCCTAAGGAATTAAATATAAACTACCACAAGGAAAATATACGTGTAAAAAGTTATTTCATGAGATTAATCAAAATACAGTAATGGCTTACTCTGTGTAGGAGGACAAAGAGTGATATAATAGAAGTTAATAAACATCTCTGAGGACATTATTTAGTAGAGTTTTCATACCTGGAGTTGGCGGATGTCCCACCTCACTCGAAGTCACAGCTAAAGGCTGAAGAAGCCACAAGTTCAGAAAACTGTGAGGTCAAATTATTTTGGAGTAAGGGTTGTGAGCTCTTGGAACAATCTGCCTGACTGTTGTGATGACACCGAGTGAGAGCTCTTTCAAGACCAGACTTGACCAACACTGGTGCTGGTATAGATACATGCTGGAACCAGTATATTCCCAGTACTTGCCTACACTGCATAACAGAGATATGACCGAGTGCCCAAGCGGCTAACAAACCGATCAGTGACGAAGAGGATAAAGTAAAGTATTGTGATGCATAGACATCAGATGTACATTATGCTGATCTGACAACTGGTTGAATTCACTGAGATAAATAAAAAAAAAACTGACCCCAGCTTTGATCCACTTCTGGAAGCTCCAGCTCATGGCAGCTACTCCCAACACCAAGAAAATGAGCAGCAACTTCAGGAAGTCATTGTAGAAATGAAAGTCCATTGGCTTGGGGAAGAGGATGGAGCGAACCAACTCCCCCCGGACAGTGGAGAACCCTATGAAGAAAATAGCATGGTTAACTGAGCATCCTGGGAGATGTACTGCACAATTAACTGAATCCAATGAAGCAATGTTAGTGGTAACTGAAGCTTTTGAGGGAGGTACAGTTGGCATCATACGGAGTGAGGAAACTTGAGACAGATAGAGACATCTGACATCCTTTCGAGGTAGTAAGTAGTATTTTTTCAAGAATAAAACACTCCGATTCATCTGGTTGGAGTGATTCATTCATGAAAAATACTAGATACTAACCTCGAAGAGATGCCAGACGTCTCCGGTCACACATTTTCTCTCTTCCTTGATGCCAACTGTAAAGCATAAGTTTATTGAGGCTGCAGAAGGAGGTAGAATTAATAGAGTCTGCTGAGGTAGGTTTAGTTAACTGTATTTTGGAAGGTTAGTTACAGTTGACTGCGCCTGCTGAAGAGAGATTCTGTGCAGACAATGTAATGTTGTGAGAGTGCATTTACTGATGATAAATGGATACATATAATTAAATAAAAAAATAGTTGAAATTATGGTAAAGGTATATCTGTTATTTGTTTCTTTTTTCAATTTATGAGATGGCTGAGTAGATACAGTGGATACAGGCAGGCAATGACAGGTAGTCACCTGTGTTGATGACTAGTGCTGGGAGCTCCTTGGCACCCCGCACCTGCACCACCTGTGTCCCGCTGTGTAGTAGGTGATGGCGGTGCTCGTTTTCACAGAACATAACATCACTCTCCAGCGGCACACCAACCTGAAACACATGCTAGTGTTATAGATATTGCCCTCTAGCTAAAGCTAATAACTTCACGCTATCCCTATCTTCTAAACTCCAGAATGGTCTTTAAGCTGGTGATGTCATGTTGAAATCTACAGGTAAGTATCATCAGTTACATTGACACCAAGTAGTGGCTCGCCTAACTATAATACAGAAGAGCCTAAAGATACTGTCAGTCACCTTACTTGCTTATGGCGGTCCATCGAAGTCGACGACGACGTTGTTCCAGATGAGATGATTGATGAGTTATGTGTTATTCCTCTGATGCCACCGTAGATGACTATGGAGTCCAATCATGGAGGCGCAGATCTTGTTGTACAGGTGACAAGGATGTTGTTCATTGAGAAGAATTATGCCTTGAACTCTCTAATGTCGTTGGGCTCGTTAAGGAGCTCTCTTTTGGTTCAGTGAGGTCTCAAGTGTTTCCTCTCCTCTATGGCATGTTGAGCGCCATAAGGAGCGGTCTGAGGCTAGTTGCTCCAGTGAATTTGATTGGATATTACAGCACTTGAGTAGAGTTTTAGAGTGGCCCTTATATCTCTTTCTCTGTCTTTCCGCCGAGCGGTTTCCATGTGAGAGCTTGCCATATAATATTTCTCTTGGAAGCCGCACTTATCTTCGCAAACAACACTCCAGAACTTTGTCTTTATCGTATTTGGTGACAGCTAGCTAACATTGGTGACTTGGACTGACCACTGACCTTAATGACTAGGGCTGACCATTGACCTTGATAACCTGGAATGACCACTGACCTTGACCTGGATTGATCACTGACCTTGATGATCAGGGCTAACTACTAACCTTGATAACCAGGTCTGACTACTGACCTTTGTGACAGGAATGGACTCGCCAGTGAGCATGGCCTCGTTGGTAACTATAGTTCCCTGGAGGAGCACGGCGTCGACCTCCAGTTTGCCCATGTTGTCCTCGATCAGTACCACGTCACCCGGCACCACCTCCCGCGACGACAGTACCTTCCCTGCAATACGTGTTAATATAGCTTTAATTCCCCTGGAACACCTGTTAAAATGTTAAAATAGTTACATTGTCCATGCAACACCTGTTTCAATAGTTCCATTGTCCCTGCAACACATGTTTCAATGGCTCTATTGTTCGTGCAACACCTGTTTCAATAGCTCCATTGTCCCTGCACCACCAGTTTAAACAGTTCCATTGCTCCTGCAACACCTATTTAAATAGCTCCATTGTTCCTGCACCACCTGTTTAAACAGCTCCACTGTTCCTGCAACACAAGTTAATATAGTTCCATTACCCCTGCAGCAAGAGAAAGAGAGTCAAGCAGATACAGCGCTCGCCTCCTATTCCATAGGTCGGTGGTTTGATCTCCGGACACTCCCAGTTCACCCAAGTGTAAATGGGTATCAAAGTTTATCAATTTACGTGTGCTAGCTGTAGGGCAGCATATAAAAGGTAAAACGAATAGACATTTGATAACTCTTATCCATGAGCACTTGGGCCGTTCCGTCCGAACAGGCCAGTTCACTACCACATTGTGCTATCCATAACCACGCCCACCAACATGACCGCTCGTTTTCGGTCTGATTTCTCAGTTCTTGGCAGGAGCAACTGTGAGACGGACCTCCTCATTATGGAAGCCTTGTATCAATATAAAGTAAAGCCATCCATTTGTGATATGGCTTCCTGTGAACTGTTGTGTTTTTCTCACTAAGGCTCGTCTCAATTAAGGTAATACCTCCGGTATGTTATAGGTTTTTTTCTGATTTGAGTTTGAAAATAGGTGTCCCGTCATTTTTATTGGTTTCAAATTATAATGCTCTTTTAAAACTATTGCGGAAGGTACATTTTAGAATAATGTTTCGTTTTTATTGTAGATTACCTGTAATTAAAAAAAATGTCTGTTTTCTAGGCTCTGATAATGGAAAAAAATTTTCCGAAACGTTAGTGATTAAAGAAGCCCAACTAAGTCAAGATGTTTGCGTTTTCCCTGGTTCTCCTCTTCGTTATGAAACTACGCTTTCCACGTAACAAGTCCATTGCTGTAGTTATATACTGTATATATATCACCATAATCATCACTTGCTCCAACTTGACACCAGGAGAAGAAACTGCTTCACGAAGCTACTCGACCCCAGTGAGCACCGATTCAGAACCAGTTTCCCATCCGACTATGAGACTTATTTCCCATCCGTCTATAAGACCGAGGTATCGACACAAGTGTATCTGACTATAAGCTCAGTCTCATCTCTGCGGCCGACGGTGTTCTTCTTCTCCCGGGGTGTGGACGAAAAATTGTATTATGGTGGTGTTGTGATGGTTTGATGGTAGTGGACTACGGCCGTAATCCCTGGTTCCTTGTGGTTGGCCATCGCAACCTAGACTTGCTACCTGAGCTTCCATTTCTATCAGGTTTTTGTGTTTTTGTATATAGTATGTGCATTTAATGCTTAAACTAAGAATAATCAGGTAATATTCTGGCGTGTTTTGATAACTGCATAATTGTGTTTTACTTGTGTTTTGATAATTGCAAATTTTTGTTTTACTTGTACTATGTAATGTAAACTAATTAACTATATTAATCAAAACTTAATAAAAATGTTATTAAATTACTCATTTTACTTAATAATCTACTTATCCATTTCATAACTTAAATTTGCCTGTCACGAACAGTGATTCTTGTGTGTGTGCTCCTTACTGCCTCCACATATATCAACCCCTAGAATTCAGTGGTTCCCAAACGTTTTAACAAGACGCCCCCTTTTGCTTTTTGCCAAGTCCTCAGCCCCCCCCCTTTATATATTTGTATGTAAAATCTACATAGATTTAATTTTTTATTATAATTATATTTTAGTATTGTTGAGGATCAGATAACTCCTTGCATAGCGAACACAAGTGATCGTGGCCCTCGTGCCCGGTGGCGAGTCCGGTGGTACAGTTTACCGAGGCGTGAAAGTTCGAACGCTCGTGCTTGGCTTGCGCCAGAACCGCCATCCGGCTGACAGCGTACAGTGACATCGTTTTCCTTATGGTGGTGGTTGTTTTAATCATGGTCGTGGTTGTTATAATCATGGTCGTGGTTGTAATAATCATGGTCGTGGTTGTTATAATCATGGTCATTGTTGTTATAATCATATTCGTGGTTGTTATAATCATGGTCGTGGTTGTTATTATCATGGTCGTGGTTGTTATAATCATAGTATTGGTTGTTATAATCATGGTCGTGGTTGTTATACTCATGGTCGTGGTTGTTACAATCATAGTCGTGGTTGCTACAATCATGGTCGTGGTTATGATTATGGTCGTAGTTGTTATAATCATGGTCGTGGGTGTTATAATCGTAGAAGTGGTTGTTATAATCATTGTCGTGGTTATTATGATCATGGTCGTAGTTGTTATAATCATGGTAGTGGTTGTTATAATCATGGTAGTGGTTGTTATAATCATGGTCGTGGTTGTTACAATCATAGTCGTGATTGTTATAATCATTGTCGTGGTTGTTATTATCATTGTCGTGGTTATGATCATAGTCGTGGTTGTTATAATCATGGTCGTGGTTGTTATAATCATGGTCGTGGTTGTTATAATCATAGTCGTGGTTGTTATAATTATTGTCGTGGTTGTTATTATCATTGTCATGGTTATGCTCATAGTCGTGGTTGTTATAATCATGGTCGTGGTTGTTATAATCATGGCCGTGGTTGTTATAATCATAGTCGTGGTTGTTATAATCATGGTCGTGGTTGTTATAATCATGGTCGTGGTTGTTACAATCATAGTCGTGATTGTTACAATCATGGTCGTGGTTATGATCGTGGTCGTAGTTGTTATAATCATGATCGTTGGTGTTATAATCATATTCGTGTTTGTTATCATAGTCGTGGTTGTTATGATCATTGTCGTGGTTATGATCATAGTTGTGGTTGTTATAATCATGGTCGTGGTTGTTATAATCATGGTCGTGGTTGTTATAATCATGGTCGTGGTTGTTATAATCTTGGTCATGGTTGTTATAATTATAGTCGTGGTTGTTATAATCATGGTCGTGGTTTCTCGTGGTTGTTAGAATTGGAGACGTGGTTGTTATAATCATGGTCGTGGTTGTTATAATCATGGTCGTGATTGTTATAATCATGGTCGTGGTTGTTATACTGATGGTCGTGATTGTTATAATAAGTGTCTCTTTCTTCTTTATGTTTTATCTCATTATTCTTACTCTTTTTACATACATTTAACTGACTAATTTCTATATGTTATCATCCAAATACTTGTTCTGATTTTTGTTTTACTTAACGCTGTCCTTCCTTTGTCTCCTTCTCTACTATCCTTCTATACCATTGTTATTCTGTCCTTCCATTCCTCCATTCATACTTCCACCTCTCACTATCCCTCTCTCCCATCTCCTTTCCTCGCCTCTTAAGGATAACAATGCTTCAGTCTCTTCTTCTCCTTCTCTTCTCCCTTTCTATCCTCCCCATGCATTCCTGTTATTATCTTTTTCTCTCTTCTCATTTCCATGTACAGTTAGCCACAGGAATAAGTATACTGTACACACTGTAGCTGTAAGGTCCGAAAATGGTCTGGTAACGTTGAAACTGCACATCCGGATGCATTATGAAACTCAGCTGCCCCCACCTGTCATCTCTAACTATTTTTTGTTTCCCCTTCTTTATTCTTCTATTTACTCATCTTCCTTCCTTTACTAATCCAAACAGCTTTAAAAAAAGTAGGCTAAGGAAAAAAGTGGGGGGTGGAGGAGGAGCAGTACGATAACTGCAATCTGGGCTGACAGCTTACAGCGAATGAGGGTGCGCCAAGTCCGTAGATTTGCATCGTTTTCCAGCGTAAATAAAATGGTTAATTAATGGCTTCCTAAAGAAACCATCGATATGGGACCAGGTTTGTTCCACTCTACGAATTTTTTGCGATTTTTCCACCAAGTTTGATGAAAAACGATTGTGCCGTTTCGGCTGCCCAGAACAGACATACACCTACACAGACACACGGCTAGTCCTATAGTACAAGTGATCGTGGGCCCTTCGTGCCCGGTGGCGAGTCCGGTTGTACAGTTTACCAAGGTTGTTATAATCATGGTCGTGGTTGTTATAATCATGGTCGTGGTTGTTATAATCATGGTCGTGGTTATATAATGGTCGTGGTTGTTATAATCATGGTCGTGGTTGTTATAATCATGGTCGTGGTTGTTATATTCACGGTCGTGGTTGTTATGATCATGGTCGTGGTTGTTATAATCATGGTCGTGGTTGTTATAATCATGGTCATGGTTATTTATAATTTTGGCAGATGTCTTCACGCCTCTCCTGTACCCACCTCACGCCTTCCAAGGGGGGCGCGCCCCTGAGTTTGGGAACTACTGCTAGATTATTCACTCCTTATTTTAACTTGGCAACTTTGCCTTTCCTCAATGTTGTGGGTAGCAAGGAGGCATTAATATATATATATATATATATATATATATATATATATATATATATATATATATATATATATATATAATCAGAAATTTCAATGTGATATTTAGAAACATTAAAACATAAATAACCAATCTGCCGACAGGAAAGCATAAGTAGGCCAGGCTGAACACCCACGCCATGGCGAGTTAAAACAAAGGGTCAAGCAACGCCATCGAGCGGGGGAGGGGGGAAGCATTTCGAACTAGGCTTACAGAAAACTAAATGAACTTTATCGAATTAATGTAGACACGATTCATGTAGCTAAGGGGCCATTATAAAATTTGAAGTTACTGTGGATAGTTTCCCCGTCTAAATATGTTACGTGTGTCCCAAAGAAACTATTAGTACTACGCGAAGGATAATGTCATTGGGTGAGGGCAGGCGGGCGCCCTGAAGGATGCGACGCTGACCGGGCCCAGTCAGCACCGGTCATTGACCAAGGCGGACGTCTACCACGCGTTCTGCCAAGGAAAACGACCACGTGGCCTCGTTCCTTCCCGCTCACGTTTCTAGTGTTGCAAGTAAGTTT